CATTTTAATACAGATTCTATGATAATATAATGATATAATAGACTCTATTTTTGATATTAAAATTATGAAATGATTTTAGTCTCATTTATCATAAGATAATTTAGTTATAAAAATGTTTTGTGCCAAATTTTAAAAACTTATTTTTATTTCTAAAAACTTGAAAATATGCTACATTACAATATTAAATCATAATATTTTGGATATTAAACTTAAATAAATATTAATTACAAGTAATAAATGTTGCTAACAAACATCAATTCTGTATATAACATGAATTCTAAACTCAAATCAATTAATATGAAATAAATATTTTATTCATTCGCTGCAAACACCAAAAAATAATTTAAAATTTATACAAATGAGTAAATTTTTTTATAGTAATAGTTTTTTACGAAATTATAAATTATTATAACTTTTATCCGGTTCTTAATTACAACTTTAGTTTACTCGCAAATTATAGCATAAAAGTTTTGTATCAAATACTTAAATATCGAAATAAGGGTGTGAGCCATACATAGCTTTGATTAATAAGATTGGGTTAGTTTTTGATTGTCTTGTTTACAACTTTAGTTTACTCGCAAATTATAGCATAAAAGTTTTGTATCAAATACTTAAATATCGAAATAAGGGTGTGAGCCATACATAGCTTTGATTAATAAGATTGGGTTAGTTTTTGATTGTCTTGTGCCTCGCGTTTCAAAATTAATGTCAAAATATCTGCTAATCATAACTTAGTTTAATGGACTAATTGCTATCAAATATTTTTGATATTAAAAATGAAAATAAAATAAAATATTAGTTTTGTTTCACAGACATAGATATAAGTTTTACAATATATTAGTTAACTATAATTTCAATCATTTATTTTTTTGTAAATATATAGTTATACATTATTCCGATAAATAACAAAATGTATTAATTGTCATTTTTATTAAATATTTTTTTAAACTCAATTATTCTCAGTATAAACGATATTTAAATATTTTTCTGTACATTATTTATTCAGAAAAATAAAATATTAAAATTTAGAAAGGCAGATATTTAATGGTAATAAATTAAATCAAAACGATTAATAGTTATTTTGAGTAAACTATGCAAAACTCAAGCCCTATTTGAAATTAGTTACAACGGGTCAGACATTTGCTAATATAGCTGAACATTTGCTTTGTTGAACATTCTGTCCATTACTAATCAAATTACATTATAACACAATACACACCATTTGAGTGTTTTTGAAATACCCATCACTCTCTCATAAACACTAAACCATTTCAAATAATCAATAATAACCGTCAAAAATATTATAGTTTTAAATAAAATTTAATTAAATCCTATATTTATTCTCAACTTTATGTAACATACAATATTGAAATTATCCAAAATTTACTGTTTTTAGGGTTTAAAATACAGTTTGTGTCACCCCTTGTTTAGGGAGATTAGACCACAGATAAGTCAACATTTCAATACATACTTAACTAAACATTCGTAAGTTAACTTTTGCTGAATTAAAGAGTATGCGATGACAAATATGAGAAAAATTCTCATAAAAATCAGATTATTTTCCTTAATTTGATTAGTTTTTGATTACAAATTAGATTTTAAATGCTTTCATTTCACATAGCATATAAAACTATAATTATGTTAAAAAATAATTTTCTAAAACTTCAGCGTTTATATTCAAAATAGACTCAAAAAATCGTGTGAATCCATAAATAATTAATAAAATTTAATATAGGAGCAATTAATTATTCTGATTAAATGAGTCGTTAAAAAATAGAAATTACACTTTATTTGCAGCACAACTAGAGTATTGTCCCATAATGTCGTATTTGAGATTGGTTATTATAAGAACTTCGTTAAAAGGTAAAGTTGGGTAAAAGATTAATTTAAGAACTTAGTAACGGTAAGTTAGATAATTAGTTAAAAAATGCATTTTTATGATTATGTTTATTCGTATTGAACATAAATTCAATATATTTTCTTAAGCACACAAATAGACTTAAAGCATGAGTTTATTTTTATTTTTAATGATACAATACAGCACTTAAATTGACACAAGTATTAATACTGCAAACACACGTACACATGATTTTAATATGATTTGAATAATTAATAATTACTTAAAAGAGGAATTATATGTTTCTTACCTGCATTTGAGAGTCAGTGAAACGTTAATTTCAAATAAACGATTTAATAATGAATTGCTTTTTAAAAATAGAGACAAATATTGAACACAAACACCGAATCCAATGTTAAGAATCCAAAGTCACACACAATAAGTGTTTGCGTGAAGAGTGTGTTTAAAATTTATTAAATATATTTTGATCTCATAACAGGGTATTACAGCATAAACTCTAACCAATAATATTCTTGAAGCAATTTTCCATTTCAACCCATTTTCTAATTAAATTCTTGAATCATTGCCATTCAATCTATTAATCAATTTTTTATGCATTTTTATCATTATGTTTATTCGTATTGAACATAAATTCAATATATTTTCTTAAGCACACAAATAGACTTAAAGCATGAGTTTATTTTGATTTTTAATGATACAATACAGCACTTAAATTGACACTGCATATTAATACTGCAAACACACGTACACATGATTTTAATATGATTTGAATAATTAATAATTACTTAAAAGAGGAATTATATGTTTCTTACCTGCATTTGAGAGTCAGTGAAACGTTAATTTCAAATAAACGATTTAATAATGAATTGCTTTTTAAAAATAGAGACAAATATTGAACACAAACACCGAATCCAATGTTAAGAATCCAAAGTCACACACAATAAGTGTTTGCGTGAAGAGTGTGTTTAAAATTTATTAAATATATTAAAGTAATTGAAAAATAGTTACAACAAATGGTTTAATTAGGTTTTTAACTGCGATATGACTTCCGTTATTTAATGACAATTTAAAATAGTATTGAAATGCTTTATTAGAGTTGTGCACAAATAACAGCAATAACTGTCTCTCACTTTATGGACAACTTTTTAATTTTATAAATGCTTTAATAGACTCATTAGGAGTAATAATTATTAACATTAATAGATAAAATAAAAAGTTTTATGCTTTTCGCAAATCTATTAGCAGTTAAGTCTGAGAACCAGAAAAGTCTTTTGTAATAACTTTAAAAAAAACTTTTAAAACTCTATTCTCTATATATTTATTATATATATGGAGACAAACAATTGAATGAAAAGTTTTATTATATAAATGATTACACTTTGAAATTAGAAGACATTAAAGGAATGAAAAATAAATATAAATGATTTCAAGCATAGGAATGGCACACAATATATATAACTATAATATTATAAGAGCTGATGAATGAAAACAGTGTTTTCTTAACTAAACATCAATTGATATAAAGGCTAGAAATGCGCACATTTTGGTTAGGCTTCCCAATCAACTCCAGTACTCTCTGTACTGTATTACCAGCGCTCAGATAGACTCGTGAAGTCCCACCCGTTTTCCGGATGACAGCACTACTCATAAGTGAGTACTTTATACGAGACTCTGGTCCGACCCATGAGGATGAGGAACACCTGCAATACCAGCCATTATGTACTCTCTCTCTCTCTCTCTCTCTCTCTCTCTCTCTCTCCACTCACTCACTCACTCTGCCTAATAAAAAATAAATAAATTCAATTTTGCATATCTTAACATAAAAAGATTTATATAATAATTTTAAAAATAATTTTTAAAAAATAGGAATCCAATTTATTTATGTATTTCCAAAAAACTATATTTTAATAATTTTAGATCGAAATGAGAAAATATTTATATAACTGTTGAGTTGTGTATTGATGTAGAACTGTAAATATTATTAGTGAGGTTCATTATGCAAAGGTTGAGAAGCTAAGACAAATGCAAATATCATTGCATATAATATATTCTGTATACTATATACCTCTCACTAATGATAGCCGGATTCCCACGAATCGATAGCTCGATGTCATAAAAGTCATTAAATGTACAAAATTATTCATTACTCGAGAGGCAAAAAGTTTCATTAGTCGGTTCCTTAAGGGCTCCGTTGTGTTTCATAAGAATTGGTTTATTCATTGATTAGTTGTAATCCTATATCACATAAAATGCATTCAATTCTTATGAGACAAACCAGACCAGAGATACACTTAAATGCCATTTATATGTAAACTCGGCATCAAATACAAGATCTGGTGTACAGTTTTGCCTCAAATTAAGGCACAATTTCACTGCCAATGGACAGCCAATGGCGCTCTCGTCATGATTAATGCAAATTGTTTTTCGCCTTAAGATATATTTATCTTCATTATAACGAAAGCCAATTATCTCTACATTACAGACATTACACATACAGTCGCACCTCTCGAATCAAAGTGATCAGGGTATCAGGTCTATGATCTCATCACTGCATCTCACACTACATCCCATCCCATACCACAACATCCCAGACCAGCCATTCCTTCTACTTCTCCATAACCCATAATCCCTGTCCTCTGACCGACAAATATATAAACCATTTCTCGGAAACTTTTATTTTTGGCGCAATTGTCCGCCAATTCTCTCCTATTTCTCAAACCTGTCTCTAAATTAACATAAATTCCTAATTAATTATTTCAATTAAAAGTCAATTCAAGTAGACGTGGGTTTCACACAAACACAACAACACATAAAAACATGTCTTAAAATGCTTATAGATTATTGTCTCATAAGAATTGAATGCATTTTATGTGATATAGGATTACAACTAATCAATGAATAAACCAATTCTTATGAACAGATTCTGGTGTCAGGAATACCTATCAATGCAATGCTAACACAACTGGCGGAGCATCACAATCTCAATACATTTCAACGTCTCACTCAACACACCATCCAAACAAATATTCCCATTCATTGCTCCCAAAACAGAATACATGGCATTCAGTGCACAATATTCCCAATATTGCCGCAAACATCGAGAATTGTGTGCAGTGTGTGAACACGTGAACGCATGCGCACAGCACACAAACACACCGTATGTTTGTGTGTCAGCCCTCGTGTTCGCCAATTGTCGCCATTTTTGCCGACTCTTCGACCGATTAATCCATTCATTGGCCATCTATTGGTGACAATCAGTGCACAAACACTGCTCAAAGCGTGTCCCACACCACCCACTGTCCACACATTGACACTCATCTGCATCTGAAGTGCACAACGCGTGTAATCCACTGAATCCGTGCCGAAGAGTATGCCGCCGAAGAAGGACTCGAAGGACGAGAAGACCATCCTTTTGGGCCGCATATCGACGAACCTGAGAGTGGGGATCGTCGGCGTGCCTAACGTCGGGTCAGACACTGCCTCCCTGTTCACCGCCATGTCCGACACGACACCACTAACACTGTCTCTCATTGTGTCCGCACAGGAAGTCCACGTTTTTCAATGTCTTGACATCGAGTGAGGCCTCCGCAGAGAACTTCCCCTTCTGTACAATAGATCCAAATGAAAATAAGTATACTTTCTATCCATTCCTCCGTTGTGTCTGTGGTCTAGCCATGAGAACAGACACTCTTATCGCTGTCCACATCTCATCTCATTTTGCAAAACTTTTTTTTGAGGCGTTTCTGAGATGAGCGCTAATTTCAAAATTGTGTCCAAAATATGATTTATTTTTGTTTTAGATTTTTTAGTTTAAAAACGATTTTTATTTGCAAATAATTATCAAATATTTTTGCAAACACTTCAGAGCAAAGACTCTGACTCTGAGCGGTCGCTGTAATTGGTCTGACCTTCAGATGCAATGAAAATCTTGAATTTCAGTTAAACTGTTCTGAACGTCAAATCTTTAAGTGTTTTCTCCTCTTCTGTAAGCAATTCTCTCTCTCTCTCTCTCTCTCTCTCTCTCTCTTTCTCTTTGATTTACTGCTCCGTTCGTCGCTATACTCAACGCTTACCCTATAATTAAGGCTTAGTTTCACTGCGAGTTTAAATAGATTTTTGTGAACATAAATGCATTCAAACTTTTTTTTAACGTTGCGTTCAATTTGCTCTCTCTCTCCCTCTCTCTCTCTCGTAATTTTGAATTTAATTATTTCTCAAAAAAGTTTTATTTCTAAACTTCAATGAAATAATTGGAAGAAAATAAGAGTCGATTTCCTTGAGATTACAGATTATGTTAATATTCATAATAACTAAACACTTATTCCGTTTGAAATGTTTGTCTGAAAAAACATATTTTCTATTCATTCACACAATTATTATAACATTATAACCATTTTTAGTGCATTTCATAACAAATTAAATGCTTTTATTGAGAATTTCTAACTAAAAGGCAAAACGATTGACAGATAACTAAATTTGGGAAACATAATGATTGTCTGCTTTAATTAAATTGCAGACAATTATGCGCTAATATTAATAGTTTATGCTTTGCACACATTTCTATGAAAACATTAGTTTAAATGAATGTATTATTGAGACACAGCCTATATGTACTCGAGATTTAATGGATATATTGGTGATGTTTAGGTACGTCGAGTCCCAGTCCCGGATTCCCGATTTGATTTCCTGTGCAAATACTTCGAGCCTCTCAGGTATTGTATGAAACAATCAATTTATGCCACAACTACTCACTCACTCTCTCTCACTACTCACTCACTCTCGCCTATTGTCCGCCAAATTGAAAACTCGATTATAAGAAAGCGAACAAAAGATTATATAAATTTCTAATTGACTCAACAAAATAGCATTCATTATAAATGCCAATACTGTATGTATTGATAAGAGATGTTTTTGAGTTTGTGAAGATTACCGGTGCTCTGCACTCAGTGTCAATGTTAGCACAAGAATAGTGTGTTTGTGTTGGTATAGCACCAGAAGTGTGCTGTAAGTTACCCGCTATTTGCCACTCACGTCATAAATATCCACTTTATTTAAACTCAATATTGCTTTTAGTTTTGTATATAAAATGCCAACATTTATAGTGTTAGCCATCAATTTGTTGTCAAGTCAAGTGTGTGTTTATTTTGATTTGATAGTTAATAGCATTTAATTAGGAAATATTGATATAATTACAAGAATGGCAAATATGATATAAATTACACAAAAAATTACTCGTAATTTGCAATCATTTGAGTGATAGTTAGCGTTGGCTTCGCAGCTGTTTGTGAGTCGTGATGCGCTTTCTTGAGTCGTGATCCCAGTCCTCACTGTTTATAAGAGTTGTTTGCAATTAAAACAAAAGATCTGAAAGTTTTAATGATTTATAAGCTGTTGGTTGTGATCGTGTCGACCATTTAAAGAGCGCTTCTCTGGCACTCATACCACTCACACCAATACTAATGCCATTAATACCTGAGACTCTTCTCGACTGACTCTGCAAATGCCAAATACAGGCAAAAGTGGAGAAAACTGATACTTAAAGTTATTCGCAAATTAATTGCAAAACATCTATAACTTATAGAAACCATAGGCTGTAATTAAAGGCTCTCACCTATACCTGTGCTCACAATTGGCTCCAATTTTGTGCCGCAGACAGTGATGAATGAAATACTTATTTCCTTTTTTCAGCAAATATTTCAAAACATACTTATTCTGACATTTCAAACATATACTGTATATTTGGGCCAAAATATCCATACATTTAAACATTGAATTTAGAAATAGTTTAATCTTTAATAGTCTCAACACATTAATTACTATCTTATATGAGTGTGTATTAAAGGATTCAATTATGAACACAACGATGAGCACCACTGCCTGCAATGCCAATCAACAAACATTGCATTCAATTGGCTTTTAATTGTTTATAATTAACTCCTCATAATAAATCTTTTATTCCACTTATTATGACTATAAGTTTATGTAGACATTAATGAAATGCTATTATGAATTAAAGTGGATTTATGCATTTCTAATGAGAAAGTTTACCAAAGATTATTGTAACAATCGATTTAGTAATCTATTTATTAATACAATAGTTTATTCATTGTAAACATTTCATTAAATTTAATTGATTGCATAGAATTGGTGTGTAATGAAGTGCATTGTTTTCCTAAGCGAATGGTTTGAGTTGAAAACTTATTTGCTTTTATATAGCGATGGGTTTATACAAAGAAATGATGAAAAAACAAAATCTAACCGATATTTTGTATAATAAATACGAGAGCCAGTCCTGAAGTGATCAATAGTTTTTTGTATGAATAATAAATCATGACTTCGATGACGGCCAGCATTGGCTCTGTTTTTATCTGCAGAAAAACATTGAATATCTTGGCATCAGATCTGCTAAACCGTGTAATACATCATATTTTTCTCTCGATTTCTGTAACAACTTATATGAACTAAATCTCATTAAAATAGTCTACAGTTTTATTACCAAAACACTAAATATAATGCATTTCTACGATCACTGTAACCAATAGACGGCCCACTTTCAGATGCTATCAGTCGATAGCCTACAGACTAATTAAAGTGTGTTTTTCACAAATTCTCCAATAATTTCAGATTTAAATTCAATTTAAAAACACATTAAATTTATTCTTTGATTATAACTTTTGCTGTAAAATTTGTTTTATGTGTTATAAAAATGTGATCATAAATACAGGTGAAAGAGTGTGAAGATTACGACTTAGTCTTAAAGTCAGTGATTATTTCGTTTATAACTATTATTTTTGGACGAATTCGTGCCGAAACTGATAGCAAAGAAATATAATTTGTTTAATGCGTTGAAAGACTGGTCACCCCTAAGACCAGACCTGTTCTCTCCCTCTATAGATATATTGAGATCGTGTCCTCCAATCATATCATATATTATTAAACTTATAAAACATTATTAATATTTAATTAAAAAGCGAACTATAATTTTGTTAAAGAAATTTAATTTCTTTATAAACTTTTTTATATCCATTATTTTCTATAAATGAAAAACTCATTTGATTTGAGAAATACTGTAAAAGCAATTATTTGATGTCAAGAAAAGCGATTAGATATTTATGATTATATGAGACGAGAACTGAATGAATGAATTGATTAATTAGTTTGAAAAACTTTGTTTTTGATGATTGTTTTGAAGGCAACGACTAATTGTGAAAATAGTGTCAGAAATAGAATACTTTAATTACGAGCGAAACAAATCTGGTTTCAAATTGCTTTAGTTTTCTCCAAAGTGTCAAATCATTATTTATTATAAGACCTCTCTTTGCCCCTAAAGTTTAGTTTAGGGCCTAAACTAAGCACTCAATCCTAGGTTTTGGGTTTGGGTTTTAGGGTTCGGCACCAAAACTCAGCCAACAGTTTGTTTTCCTCTCTTTCGTAACAAACGTTTAAAATTCCTTTCGCTTTAATAAATGATAGACGCGTTTGACTGCAAATTACATTTCATAATAAGATTTCGGAGTTTGCACTCAAAATGACGAACAATTTTCTTCTATAATTCAAAGTCGAGTCGAGTCTCGGACTTAAGGCGAGTATAATCTCCTCCTTCTCGCCAACAATCGCTTCCTTTCACTCTCGAGTCTTATCTGATTTATGCATTAAATATCATAAAAAGCAACAAATTTATGACAATTAATGCTACGATTGTGTTGTGAACAGCAAAGTGCCCGCATTTCTCAATGTGGTCGACATCGCCGGTCTGGTGAAGGGCGCCAGTGAGGGACAGGGACTCGGGAATGCCTTTCTCTCGCACATCAAGGCTTGCGACGCCGTCTTTCATCTCTGCAGTAAGTCTTCAATCCTTTCATTCATGATTTCATTATTGCATATAATTTACGTGAATATTATTAATGGCTATTATATTACACTTAAATTGATAATTATTTGAGACATATTAGCGCTAATTATTAATATTTAGTTCCATACGAGTAAACCCTAAATGAATACACTATTTAATACATGATTATGATTACCGTATATACCGTGCGCTCAAAGTATTGACTCAAATGTTAGTTGATATTAGTTTAGCGTTTTCTTGTTATTGTTGAGTGGAAGGCATCGCTATAACAGTCAATATTGACTGAAATATTGGCCAAAATATCATTGATATTAGAGTTTGGGACGAACTGAACCACCTCTCGCTCTGGGGGTTCGACAGGTTTTGGAGATTTATTTTATAATTACCCCAATATATTGTATATATTGTATCAAACACTGAACGCTTTGCGAAAGTTTCGCGTTTATTATGTGTTTGGCCTCCTATTCAACCCAAAGATCAGTAGCCAATACTCCAACAAATTATTGTTTTATAGTCTTGTAGTCTCTCTCATCAATCTATGCGTCAATTTCTAGTCAATCAATGTTTGCGAGTAATGTCTGTTTTGTCTGAGGCTTTTAAATGAAAAAATGCAAATATGGGTGGAGTGCAGGAGCCAAGGGATCAGGAGTTTAACACAAGACAAATGAGAATCGCTCTCACTTTAGACCGAAGTCTGGATATAAAAAGAAATATTTCTTTTGAAAAATTAAAGTTTTTAAGAAAGTGAAGGCAAACCAAAAAGTAATACACGTTTTAGCAGTTAGTCATAAAATGTTACGTTTGAACGGCCGACCCATATATACGGCCAGTACTTATCAGAAATACTTTTTCCAACAGCAAACTAACGAAACCCTGATTATTATAACAAATGATCTCTCTCTCTCTCTCTCTCTCTCTCTCAACTCCAATGACTGCAATGTCATCCATCTCTTACTGTCTGTTCACAAAATTATAGGTTCTGTCAAATTAGGACTCGAAGGCAAGAGAGGGTGTATTGCATAGCATTGTACACACAATACTGTATTCACTCGACTCTTACTCTACTTTTATTAAATGCCAACAAAATCTCATTTGTTTCTAACGTTAATTTTGCTCAAAACTATTGACTAATTATAGCCTTAAATCATATGTTTTTAATTATTTTTATTTATCGTTTTTACTATTTTATGGATTCCTAAAACTCAATGTTTAGACAACTTTTGACAAACAGATATAAATCTAAAAAACAAACACTTAGTTGTAAAACAAGACAACACTTATGTTGATGTGTTGTGGTTTAGGGGCCTTCGAGGACGACAACGTGATACACGTGGAGGGAGACGTGAATCCTGTCAGAGATATTGAGATTATAAACGAAGAGTTGAGACTCAAAGACGAGGAACAGCTGATGGCTGTCGTCGACAAACTCGGAAAGACTGTTCTCAGGGGAGACAAGAAAGACAAACCCGAATACGTGAGTGAATAGATGATCACTTGGATCACATTCAGCCACAATATATTCACATTAACCCCACTTTTAGGACATTTTAATGAAAATAAAGCAGTTATTAGTCGATGAGAAGAAACACATCCGATTCGGGGAATGGAATGGCGCGGAGGTTAGCATCCATTGCCATACATTGCCATACAGTTGACTCTCATTGTGTATTCATGTCTTTATTTGCAAACTATTGTTAGATTGAAATCCTAAACAAACACTTGTTTTTGACATCAAAGCCAATGATTTATTTGATAAATTTGTCGGAAAAGGACTTCATTCGCAAAAAGAACAAGTGGTCTGTCTTTAGTTATCAATGCATTCATGTTTAGCCCCATTATTACATTAACCCCTTTAAGGCTATTAACTGATTATAAGGGGGGCTTTGAGACCATCTGTGCCTCCATTGCCTCCATTCGGTCATTCAATCATTGATTGCAAGCACTAATGAATGAGTGTTTGAGTCAGTCATTGGAGAAGTCCGTCGGGTATTCGATGCAAACATTTATGTTATTTGAATCCATATATCGTTTGACATATGATTGCATTGCGAGTCATGTTTCCAAATAATAAGCTAATAATTAGCTTTAATGAGTGTCACAACCGTGACCTCACACAGGGTCAAAGTGTCTAACAATGGGTTATTTGTTTTGCAATTAATCTCATCGTTATTATCTGAAAGGCTCATCAAAATGAAGCAATGGATAGACACTAACGATTCGGGCGCTGCTGTCATACTGTTCAGCGGGATCCTTGAAAACAATTTGGTTTCCATGAGTCCAGAAGATAGACAACGCTTTTTAGATGAAAATAAGACTCAAAGGTATGAATGAAACCATTTGATCATTCTCTCAATAACTCATTCAATTGACTCCTAAATAAACTGTTAAATAAATTCTCGAAACTCTCTCTATATTTGGTTAGTACTGTATTTGACACCACTTTTGCACTCACTATAAGCACAGTCTATTGAAAGCTTTAATGTATGAATTTATATGATATATTCGGCACAAGTATGGGGTATGGGTTCCGTTCCCTTCACTTATTTACATAACATGTGTTCTATAGTATCATATAATATAATATAATTCCATAATTTTCTCCCAAATTATTGATTTCAAAGCATTTATACATATATAGCGACCGATACTTTACTCATGGATTTAATTTTCAAAATTTTTCGTACAATGAAAGTTAAGCCCAAATCTATGCTATTCATTACAAAGTGTTGCAAATAATAGTTTTAATCTTTGGTTTCATTCACAATACTGTAGAGCACTGTATGCTCTGCTCTCATATGAATGTTACAATACTTTACAAATGCATTCAAACTGTTTTACTCGACTCACTGTTAGTCTAAGAGATTAAGAGATGACGACTAATCTCTCTATTATCCCGACTTAACTCCATTAGAAACGCTTGTCATTCAATGTTATCAATAATTGTGTTAAAAACCAAATACTTTTGGTTTATTTCTGTACATATTGTTGTTGTGTTTGACTTACAATATACTGTATGCCTCGAAAATAGGCTCACATTTTGACTTTCAAAATAGGATCATATTTTAGGTTTCCATCGAAATAAGTACCCAAAAAATGTAGACTTTATTGGAATTAGATTTTCATATCTTAGACAACAATCCACTGATGAAAGGGTAGAGAAATAGAAGTGAGGATCACATGAGAGGGCGTCCTCTCATGCGTTGGGATGCGTTCAATCACTGCCTCTTCGCTGACATCCCTCTCAATAAAAGAACAAATGTTTTATCAATAATTATAGCGGAACTCCACTCTCTTGTCATTAACGTCTCTAATCATCACCTCTTGACCGACCGGTGCTCCGACTCTTTCTCTCTCTCCCTCTCTCTCTCTCTCCCTCTCTCTCTCTCGAATGCAATGTTTGTAGTAATTAAAGGGAGAGAAGAGTTGGTGAGTTAGCGAGTGCTATGAAATGTGAAATCTCTGATAAGTGGTCTCAGAATCAAAGAAAGAGTTCCGTAGCTTCTGGTGAGTTGCGAGTCGTATGGCAGGCATTGGAGGCTTTGAGAGATGGATGTAATTGTTTCGGAGATTTCCGCGAACGACGGCAACTGACGGACCAGTGATTTACTGCTCCGTTCGTCGCTATACTCAACGCTTACCCTATAATTAAGGCTTAGTTTCACTGCGAGTTTAAATAGATTTTTGTGAACATAAATGCATTCAAACTTTTTTTTAACGTTGCGTTCACTTTGCTCTCTCTCTCTCCCTCTCTCTCTCTCTCTCTCCACAATTCAGATGTTTGTTAGACTCGAAAACGTGATCTAAAATAAGTAATTTATTTATCGCTTTATTTAATTTCATTATTTATTTCGCATTTCTTTCAAAAACAAACCAAACGATCGAAAACTAGATTTTATTTTTATTTTTTCAAAGACTTTCGTTGGCTATCATTAAAATTGTTTTTATTGATTATAAATTGTATTGAATTTGAACGTTAACTTGTATTTTAAAAGTCAAATCCAACCAAATCTATAATTATCTGACTTTAAAGTATATCATTATATTAGACGTTAACATACATTCAGTTTTCCTAAATATTGATATTTTCACATAATTTTCAATTCACTTCTCATTCATTCAATTATTTGGCTTTTCTTTTGTTAATCTAATCTTTTATTTCCATTTTTATTCAAATCTGATCACAATTTCAGTGCATTAGACAGAATCATAACAACGGGTTATAAAGCACTGCAGCTTCAGGTGATTATCACTTATAGGGAACAGTATATACTGTATGGAAATGCAATGAATTATCAATTAATATGAGTTTGCATTCATTGTTCAGTACTTCTTCACTGCTGGCAAGGATGAGGTGAAGGCCTGGACTATACAAGTAATACATAACCATTGCATACATTCACACAACCCTTGCATCTCATACTTGACTTGAATGACAGAAAGGCACGAAAGCCCCACAAGCGGCCGGACGTATACACACGGACTTCGAGAAGGGATTCATTATGGCTGAGGTCATGAAGTTCGAGGACTTCAAGGAGGAGGGCTCGGAGAACGCCTGCAAGGTATCGCTCACTCACACCCCCACCCCCTCTCATCTCATTTATTAATGCCATTGTCTATGCGTTTGCAGAGCGCCGGCAAATACAGACAACAGGGAAAGACCTACACTGTAGAGGACGGAGACATTATTCTATTCAAATTCAATGCCGGCGCCGGACTACAGGCCAAGAAGAAGTAGTCATACTTACGACCACTTTATTTATATTCAATTCAATGTTGATTTGACTAACTCTTGATTGCATGCATCAAATGAACTCTTTTTGAATAAAATGTCTTTTAAAAGAAGTCTCCTTTCATTGCAAACTTTATTTTGTTATACAATTCACGATTGGCCACAATATGTGACATCTAGTGAGTGGCACATGAGTTGATGAAACAGTAATTACTCAATAGATGTCATACTTTGTCTACAATTGAATTTTAGACGTCTTTGGACGCGAGACATAGACTGACATCTAGTGTCCAATCATTTGAATGCATTCCCAATTGAGCCCTAATTTAAATGATGGATTTGCTCTCAAATGTGATTATAATTGTTGTTAGATTATTGTAACAATAAATTAGCATGCTCATTATGTTACTATTGCTGCAACTATTAATAGCACACAATTCAGGACTTTGCATATGAGTGACAAACATTTGAATGAAACCCTCACTTGAATACACAATTAAATTGTGAACACTTTTAAAACAAAATCAGATTTAAGGCTAACTATTGGCTAAACAGGAGATGTGTTTGCAATGCATTTGTTTGAATTGTATTCGTGTTTACGGCTATAGTATTAGTCTAATAATTAGATGTAAGGACTGGTCGTGTATTCAATGTATGCTTACTATAAGAGTCAGACTAATAGTAACTACAATACGATAGCATTTATTAACGATAATGTGGTTTCACTTCAAATTCAATGCAATCTTCAGATCATTAATGAGAACAAGAGTTAAACGTAAGACTCGTTTCCATCACTCAATGGATGAGACAATGGACTCAACACTCAAACACTCATTCAATTGAGACAACACCACAACCACCGACACATGCATTCAATAGTCACTCTTGGGAACCATTGGACTTGATTGCAGTGATCGGAGACAGAGATGTGGATCCAGTCCATGAGGTAAGCAATTGATGGTTGAATGGGATCTCATGAGTATTACATCAGTGAGTGATGTCTGGGTGTTGGGAGTGTTGGGTGTGTCACACGTGTGGCCACACTCTCACAGTTGCCGACAATTGTGGTGAATATGATAATGACTGCAGAAAACGCCTCCACAGAGGCATAGGTTGTGCCCATCGCTCACACATTCACGCAATCCATACACGCATTCACTGCCAGAACAGCACTACTCTTAGCACTCATAGCACTGACCGCCACGTCTTGCCGTACATTCAATACACTACACATAGACATAGACTCCACCGCTGGTTGACTAATACCACACATCCTATCAATGATTGCTTCAAACTAGGAATTGCATCACGCGCAACACATCCCTTACCCCTTACATCACTATTGTTTGCATTCACTTCATATTTATTTGTATGAATTGTACATATATTGTATGCCAGTTAACGAGCCCTTCCTATCATTTATGTCCATTTGATTACCTTTCAATTTAAAATTTTAATTTTAATTTTAAATCATTCAAACCATAGTTATTAGTATTTATGTGCAAAACTCAGTGACAGACAGTTAGACTGAATGTCATATTATTGAACCATAACTGTAATGCAGGTATTATTGCATTCATTCATACAAATGGTATAGTAATGCAAATCCTAATGCAATGAATGAATGCATTTGTAATCAACCAAAAGTTGAGTCTCTGTTCACAACCAAGACTTGTCTCTCAAAGCAATACTATTTCGTGTATTATTGCGCTATAAATGCTATTTCATTGCACATATAAAAGTGGTTGAATTGGTCTCAAACCATAGCAATCGGTATCTTAAACACATTTTGGCCACAAATTGAATGCCAGTGCAGGTGACTGTGGTGTCGTCCGTGACCAGGCTGTGTTAGTATGGGCGTGAATGTGCGGCACTATATGTCGGCGTACGTGTGGTTCGTGGTGTGGCTGTGAGTGCGTTGAGTTCAGCCCTATAGTCAACCTCTTTGTGGGCCAACACTACAACTCAACCCAAACTACGACAACGGGTGGAGACATAGCTATAGCCAACACTATCACCACTGATGTACTGTTTGTTATGATTACCACTATTACGACCACTAATACATTCAACTCTCTTAATAGTATCCAAACTATTCATTAATTACTATTAAATCGCCTCAAAGTCGCCATAAATCTCATTTGAATCACTCGTGAGTGCAGTGTATAACTGGTCTGCCATTGACTCAATTGGTGTCACATTGAGTGCAGTGTTGTGTGAATGCACTGCCAGTGCGACCACCGGCTGACGAGGAATGAGTGCCACCACTAATGGGACCCAATCTGTCGACGAGTTCGTGGTCACCGATAATCAGGTAAAGCATTGAAACGATATTTAGGTGTATGTGTGGGTGTCTGGGCCCACAACGGGTCCCAATGGGTGATAGTCATGAGGAGTTGGGAGGAGAGGGAGGGAGGGGTTGGGTAGTAGTTGTGATGATGTCTTGTGTGTCATAGCAAGTGATGAATGAATGAGTGATGGGATCAGCGATAAGAGCGATGTCTTAATCGCAATCAAAGTGAATGCAATGCTGTGGTAGGGATGAGAGCACTGGTAGCCAATCGTTGGCATATAAGGCGAGCTAACAGTGCTCTACAACTGCACAGACAGTAAAGCACTGACTGTGAGATCGATAGTGGTGTGTGAGCACTGGTAGTCTATGGGAAGGGATGAGTGGGGAGTGGAGTGTATACTAGTATACCCTTCAAGGCAGTGTTGGTGTGGTGTCTGACCCGACGGTGTGTCCCTCCTATGAGGTAATCCCTATTAACCCCGCCTTTGCTTATCTCATAACCTCTTCAATGATAGGACTCTTCGCAAAACGTGAGCCAAATTGAGAGCCACTCCCAGACCAGTGGACAGACGTCGGGAACGGGAGGTTCAGCACAACAGCCGTCGCCTTTAGCTCTGTTAGCGGCCACGTGTAGTAAAATAGGGTCTCCCAGTGAACTGTCCGCTGAGGGCACTGGAGGTCAACCCAACGCCACCACTACTACTGTTAAGCTCGTGAGCGCCGGCGCTCAGAATCAAGTGATTCAGGCGTCAGACTTCGCGCACTTAATACCCGTCCATTCGGGACAAACACTCGGAGTTCTCAATCCTGACGGCACTGTCACTCAACTCAATCCCTCTCAGGTGGTGGTCAGCAGCGCCGGCACTCTCGGGACGCCCATCAAGTCTGCCATCACTTCAGTGGCCAACCAGAGCGCCGCCAATGCCTTGTCGACGGCCACTCAGATCCTGCAGACACAGGCCTCGGGCGCCGGCATCTACAGCATCCTTCAGCCCCAACAGCTCCAGATCGACGGCCAGGAGGCCATCTTCATCCCCGGCCACCAACAGGCCATCCAGTTGTCCGCCAACCAACTCATGGCGTCTCCCAATCAGGTGCGCCAACAGACCCAACAACAGACCCAACCGTCCCCTCAACAGACTGTCTTCATCCCCGGCATCGGCAATGTCTCGATAGGCGGCGCGCAGTACGCGGGCGGACAGACTGTGGCCGTACGGCAGGGGAATGTCGTGCAGACCATACAACTGCCGGTCCAGCAGACGATTCCCGTTCAGGCAATCTCTACACAAAACGGTCAGACAATCCTCCAAACCATACACCTCCCCATCCAAGCCCTCCAATCACTCAACACAGCACAGGGTGTCCAACAACTCAGCGCTCAGTTGATGCCACAAATGCAACAGGTATTGCATCTGACATACAGTACCGATACTAACCATTATCCGTCATGTCGTGGACTACAGGTGCAAATGGCACCCATACAGGTGTCACAAGCGAACAACACTCACACCCCGACCATCAAACAGGAACCGGGAACTGAGACACAGACTCAGAATCAAACGAATCAAGTAATGAGTGTTTTGTTTGCATTTCAAATGATTTCTAAACAATGATTTCAATGACAGAGTACTACGGCTTCGACGATGACGTCCAACACGTCCGGTCAGACAGTGCTGGCGAACGTCCAGTTGCCGAACGGACAGATCGGACAACTCATCTCAGCCCCCGTCTGGCCCAACAACTCTATAAACCTCTCGAGTTTAGGCGGTATGTCGTATCATGTCTTGTGATTACACTTTAAGTGCAATTTGTAATGAATATGAAAATCGTTGTTAGGTTTGAGAACCGCTCAGAATGTGATTCAAGTGCAGGGCATGGGAGGCCTTCAGACTATACAACTGCAGGGCGGGGGTCAACAGCAAGTGATATCGGCCTCACCCGCAGCCCTCCAGAGTCTGAGTATTACTCCGTCGGGTAATATCGTGGCTAATGTGCCGAACAATGCTGGCCAACAGGTGGGGCCTATGAGTCCCGTTCAGGCCATTCAGATCGCAAATGCGGGCCAATTCATGACACAACAGATACAACAGGACCCCAACGACCCCACGAAGTGGCAGTTGGTCTCCACGCCCACCAACGTGTCCGTCCAGAACTCACTTCAGGGCACGTTTACGGCCACTCCTACCACAGACGGCACGGCAACGCCCGGCAGTGAGACGGGAACGGGACGTAAGATGCGTCGCGTCGCCTGCACCTGTCCTAACTGTAGGGACGGCGAGGGCCGCAACAGTGAGACCAAAAAGAAACAACACATCTGTCATATTCCCGGCTGTAATAAAGTCTACGGAAAGACATCTCATTTGAGGGCACACTTGCGGTGGCACACAGGCGAGCGACCCTTCGTCTGCAATTGGCTCTTCTGCGGCAAACGGTTCACCCGTTCCGACGAATTACAACGACATCGCAGGACACATACCGGTGCGTCCACTGAGCGCTAGTCTCCAGTGAGAAATGTTACTAACGAATGAATGTTTTCTTGTTTGTGTGGACCGTTAGGCGAGAAGCGGTTCCAATGTGCCGAATGTCTGAAGCGTTTCATGAGAAGCGATCACTTGTCGAAACACCTGAAGACACATCAGGCGAAGAAAGTGAGTCAACAACAGACACAGAGCGACGACACGTCCGGCCTCGCAGTGAACGCCAACAACGATATGGCGTTGGATTGCGAACAAACAGATCTGGCTATCAATGAGAGCGCCACTGATGGCAACTCAGACGCACTGGTAGTACAGGGACAGCAGATTTGAGTCTCTGTTCGCCAACTGTTCATCAAATGAAGTAATTTATTAGACCTGAAAATGACTATTAATTAATGATTATATAAATATTATACACATTTGAGAATATATTTTATTAATAATGAATAATAATTAACACATAATAGACTGACTAATCATTGATTATATATATAATAGTGATTATTATAAATATTTATTCATTTCTTATGATTTGTATCATTAGTTTTGTTCTCAACTCATTTCTCTCATTATATCATCAGTTTTTCACATTATATTTGCTGTTAAAATGCAATTTCCATTTCATCTATCATTTCAAACGCCAATTTCATCTCATTTTTTGAAAATAATTTTTATTATAATTCTTAATAATATATAAGTTTTTAAGAATCAAATATATATTAATTGATAATTATATCGATAGATCTTAAACTGTTGAACGAAATGAGAAATTTTTAAATTATAAGTTAAACTTAAAATTAGTTTAATTATTAAATGAATGATAATTTATAAAAAGTTTAAAACGAAATAAAACTTAAAAATCATTGCACAAAACGGATCAAACATTTTGTTATCCGTGTCTACCATTCAATCAATGTCTATGTTTTCGTTATGTTTTCAGTTTTATTTTAAGACAATTAAAAGTTTCACTAATTTTTTATAAATTTAATTTTTGTTTCATTTATTAATTGCAATGTTTTTGTTATGTAACCAATCATTCAATCAATTGGTGGTTGTGTTCAACATTTGTATCGCAATTACAATACAATCCCTTTGTTTTGAAAGCATTGTGCAGAAAATGTGATTTTGTTTTCACTCTTCATTTGTCACTCAACTGATCCATCAAAACAATGTCCGATAAGTCACCCAAACAGACACAACGGGACCGACCAGTGGTCCACTCAGACGAGTATGTCTTAAGGAAACGACTGCCCAATCATTTGCCGAAACGAGACAATGATATCTACGTGAATATGAGGACCGACTTCAGTGTCCAACTCAAGAGATGCCAACAGGCGTTGGATTCTCCCCAACACTACCACCACATTGTCATCCATGGACTCGGGAAGGCTGTCCACCGGGCCATCAATATGGCGCTACAACTGCAGGAGACCAACCATTTGGACATGTCTTGCAACACGTCATCCGTCGATGTGGTCGATGACATGGAACCGATTGGTGACAATCGAGAGCTCAATGAGTCGTACACTCAGAAGCGCACCGTTTCTGCCATTCATATCAAACTGTTTCGCAAACAACAGACAAACACTTGATTTGTTTCATAACTTTTATATTAAATTATTGCATAAAAATAAATAACAATTAATTGTGTGTTAAATGTGTTCATAACTGCTATAAACTCCATGTGTTAAGAGGTTTTCCACTTAAGCACTGATACGAGTGCTAAATGGTCTGAAGGGAAGACAATACTCGGAAGACCTGTATTCTGGACCACCTGTTCATGACTGGGGAATGGAATCACTTCAGAGACCTCCAAATGGTTGGTATCGAAGAATATATAGTCGAGACAACCGCTGAAGAATGGCGTGTAATTGGTGTACACGGGTTGACCACAAGCGCTGTCCAGACTTAAGCCGTGACTCATATCAATGCCATGGATTGTCTCGTCTGAATCTATAGGCCAGCAAACAATCGTTTGAATTGTTTGTCAAACATTTGTATTTAGCATTTAAACAAATATTTACTGCTTTTGAAATCCTCAATGTCTTTGGGAACGAATCCAGTGGTGAAGAGTTGGAAAACACCGAATTCCGGACAACTGTTATAATCGCCGCAAAGGATCGGCGAAACAGTCAACTCTGGTCTCTGTTCAACAAAACATGTCTTTAATTATAATTTTGGTCACAAATACTGAAAATCAAACCTTTTTTGACAACACTTTCATCTCATTCTCGATATATTTGATATAAATAAAAGACTGAATGAGTCGGATGTGGTCGGCGTCGGGATGGAAGTAGAGGTGAGTATTGCCTAAAATGATGGCCCGATTGCTATCTTCTACAGACTTAAGAAGAATGCATTGAATGACGGAATATCTGGCCATTAATCGGTCCAACAGTTTCTCATTGGCGCTGATTTCAGTTAATAAATGAGCGAAAATGGGATTAGTTTTGAGTTCTTCGGACAAACAGACCGTTTTGGCGCTCAATATCTCAAACTTTGATGAATTGACAAAAGCGGCCAAACCTTCGCCGGTGTTTCCCTTTTCGCTAAAAAACGACTCATATTTGGGTTTAGCGTTCGTTTGGTTTACGAAACACATCATAGGTTTGAGATCGGAGTCAAACACATGTCGATCCACTTCTTGGAAGCAACAGATGTCTGCGTTATAGCCGACGATCTCTTTAGTCAATAACTGTTTCCTGTATTCAATACAAGAAATACAAGACATTAGTTTATGTGACACAACCAAACAAACAGATCATTAATTGTGGACCAGTTGTCCAGTTTGGCGCTCACCACAGCTCTCGTCACTGATATTAATAGTGAACAACGAGAGCAACACTTATTAGATCATAGTTTACCTGTAGTTTAGGTCCAGCGCATAGGCGGGACAGTAGGGGAACAGTACTGTTCGGGTGTAGTCCTGATCGGCGTAAACGTCAGCCAATATATTATAGGAAATCACTCGAAAAGAGCCACAATTTGTGGGTTCAGTGCAGAAAACAAGCCTTTCCTCGAATGGACACAACCCTGGATTGGCTTCAATCACATTCTCACCGATCGCTTCACACTCTCTGCCACCCATCGGATGACAAACCACTTTGACTTTAGCGCCGATGTCTTCACTACTAGTCTTGTAATAGAATCCTTCGCTCACTAAAAGCCAATCACTTTTGGGATCAACTATTGTCTGCTCATTGGCAGCGATCGTAGAACTGTTGGAATCATTTGTCTTTGCTATCGATTCCCGGAACCAATAAAATTTGCAATCATTTTGCGAACAAAACTCGAGAGAAATTTTAGGATATATTGTGAACGAAGACATGATTACTTTGGGAAGTTTTAGGGACTTAACTGTCGGTGCGTTTACGTACACCTCGTAGTCATTGTCTCCCACTCTAAAAGTTTGGCCTAAAATAAGACAATCGTTTGTATGAGACATAGGTTTGCATCAAAAATCATGCCATCATTTAGACCTGATTTCCAAACATCACAATTGGCTGAGTCTTGAGAAAGAGCGCATCCGTCCATAAAGAGCTGTATATCTAATGCGTTGACATCTGTTTGACAATTGGTTTTGCTTTTATTGGTCTTTGACTTCTTTGCGGACAACTTATGGATATTGAGTGCAATTCTTTGGAAAGTTTGTCTCAAAGTCTCGGATTTGTCTCTTTGGAAGTGAAAGAATCGCTGAGAATTGGTGTCCAATTGGTTGTACTTGAACTCAATGACAATCGTGTGATCGGTGTCCACACACCGCACATCACACCGACGACCACTCATGATCTTCAGTAATCAAAGAGTTTATGACAAATACTTTGTGTCAAAGTCTTTGACACTAAATCACACAAACATACGGCAAACGTTTCAAAACAAGGGATTGTATAGTAATTATCATTCATTTGACTTCTGGTTTAAAACTTATTTTTAATTTATTTATAATTATTAATTTATAATTTATTTCAACTCGTTTTTATTTACATTTCTAATTAAATATGATTATCAATAACATATAGATTGTAGCCATGAATGGGTCCCAAGTGTACAATCAGTCACTTTTTGGTCTCCACTTCGGCGCCAGTTTTAGTTGGAAAGTGTGTTCACTCGACCTCTCATTAGACGCCAGCCTTATCCGAGTGTTTGGCAATTGATTCAAAATATTTGCCTATTTTTAACACAAAAACTATTGAATACAAGCTATAAATTGCGAAACTTGAATCACTTACTCTGGAGTCGATTCGCTGTCCATTCTTGAGGTATTGTAAAGCATTTATTTGACTTTCGCTTAGATTGAGTGCATTTCTTAACTTATGATTAGAATTGGTTTCATTGGAACAGATATTCTGTGCGCTCGACACACGATTGGCAGAAGGCTTGTCGTGATTGTCGCATATGTGACAAACGGGTCCGTCATCTGTGGTCACACACCGCTCATGGAATGAATGCTTACAACTGAATAGCACGACATTGTCCGAGTGTTGTAGATGTTTACCACAAACGGCGCACGTCTTGAGGCCGCGATTGGCGTTGGCTTTAGTGGCGAGCCTTTGAAGGTGTGCTAAATGTTGGTGTAATTCAGTTAACAGTAAATTGTTGGTCGTCTGCAGAAGTGTTTCCTCATAGATATAGTTGTCCTTCACTTTAAAGACCAGATCTTTAGCGCCATATAAAAGGTCTGCCGTTCCGTCGGATGACTCTCTGGTCATAAACCTCTGCATAACTGCTGTCGTGTTCTGCGTTCCGTTCAAACCAATGAGGAATCGATTCGTTAATTCATTCAATTTGTTTGAATATATATCTTGTGATGACTTCTTAACCAATTTATTGATTGTTTGCATGGATTCGAGTAAAGAGATCCAGAGATCCACTGTGTGCTGCATCTGCGAGCTCTCAGTCATTTTGGTGGTACAGCGACCGCACAGGTCTATGAGATCTGTTATTTTAATGACAATTTGATCCACGAATTGGTCCACTTCTGAAGCCTTAAAATCAATTATCTTTTGCTGCAAATCTGTGTGCAATAGAGCGAAGGCCTCATCAAATTTGGAGGTCTTTTCGAGCAGATATGCCGTCCCGTCCTTTATCTCACACTTTCTGGTCATCTGATAAGAGATAACAATTGATTACAACAATCATAATCACAGAAACATTTCGTCGAGACTTACAACTAATATAATCTCCGGCCGATAGTCCTCCAGAATTTGGAGCGTCTTTTGTACGGAATTGGGTTCAAAATCACACATCAATTCAATGAGTCTTTCTTGAAGTTTGGGATCCGTTATAATCAACTGTTTTCTCTGCTCTCTAACAGATAGTGACTCCAAATCAATACTTCCTGTCGACGGATCTCTTTTGTGACTTTTCTTCGATTCTTTCAGTAATATTCCGGACAATAGTTTATATAATACTTTGGGTTCTGTTTTCTCTGCTCTCTAACAGATAGTGACTGCAAATCAATACTTCCTGTCGACGGATCTCTTTTGTGACTTTTCTTCGATTCTTTCAGTAATATTCCGGACAATAGTTTATATAATACTTTGGGTTTTGCTTCGAGAGAATCGATTATTCTCTCGAATTTGTCTTCTTCTAAGTAATCCAATAGAAATTTTGCCGTTTTTTGGAAATCAATTTCCACAAGACTTTCGACATTAGAATAAATAGTTTCCATGAAATCTCTCTTCTCTTTGTCCGAAACATTACACGACATCACGATTTGGTTCATGTAATCGAAGACATGGCTCTGGTATCAGACAAATAGACAAATCAAACAATTAATACCAAAATACGGTAATAAGTTGACAGCAATTGAAACCTTTCTTTGATTGTCTTTCAAATATGTGCACATAATTTGTCCCCAATTTCTGTTCTTAACGTAAATGTAATCACAAATTCTGAAACTAATGAAACAAAACAACAATGAATACGATTTGATGATCAAATCAAACGACAACATGACTAACAAATTGACGTTTTGTGCCATTCGTAAGATCTCTAACTCATCCAAAGTGTGGCCCACTTTTGACTGCAATAACTCTAATAAGACGTGTTCTCTCTCTTCACTGCATTTCCGGTCTTCGGATGTAAAAAGTTTTTCGATTATCTGAAACAATATCACAATCTTTGGTCAAATGATTGCATCAAAGCTATTGAGGCTTTTCCTTAAAGCTCTATTCATTACCTCATCTAAGAGTGACTTTTTGATGCCAACAGTATTCCTCTTATCCGACAATAATTTGGCGATAAATATAAACAGACAACTGATCTCTTTCTCGTCGAAACCCATTTTCTCAATCATTATTTGTATCAAAATATCCACAATTTTTTGCTTTTGATCCGTTCTATTGATTTAATGGAAAGTTATATAAATGTTGCACAAAATATTGTTAAAATCATTCAAATAGTTTTCTAAAACTTACAAAAAACTGTTTTCGGTGTCAAAGCCTTCAAAAGCATTTAAAAGAATTTCTAAGAATTGTTTTGTATTGAAGTGCAAAAGTGTTCTCAAATTTGGATAATCTTTGTTCGTTTTGTGCCATTCGTAAGATCTCTAACTCATCCAAAGTGTGGCCCACTTTTGACTGCAATAACTCTAATAAGACGTGTTCTCTCTCTTCACTGCATTTCCGGTCTTCGGATATAAAAAGTTTTTCGATTATCTGAAACAATATCACAATCTTTGGTCAATTGATTGCATCAAAGCTATTGAGGCTTATCCTTAAAGCTCTATTCATTACCTCATCTAAGAGTGACTTTTTGATGCCAACAGTATTCCTCTTATCTGACAATAATTTGGCGATAAATATAAACAGACAACTGATCTCTTTCTCGTCGAAACCCATTTTCTCAATCATTATTTGTATCAAAATATCCACTATTTTTTGCTTTTGATCCGTTCTATTGATTTAATGGAAAGTTATATAAATGTTGCACAAAATATTGTTAAATTCATTGAAATAGTTTTCTAAAACTTACAAAAAACTGTTTTCGGTGTCAAAGCCTTCAAAAGCATTTAAAAGAATTTCTAAGAATTGTTTTGTATTGAAGTGCAAAAGTGTTCTCAAATTTGGATAATCTTTGTTAAATAGTTTTCTAAAACTTACAAAAAACTGTTTTCGGTGTCAAAGCCTTCAAAAGCATTTAAAAGAATTTCTAAGAATTGTTTTGTATTGAAGTGCAAAAGTGTTCTCAAATTCGGATAATCTTTGTCTTCAAACGGATTATTATAACCACTGTTAGGATCACTGGGTTTCGAGATCCGCGACAATATATCTCTGACTAGAATTGTCTTCTTCTCTGTTTCGATGGTCTGATTGTTTGTTTTGGATAATCTTTGTCTTCAAATGGATTATTATAACCACTGTTAGGATCACTGGGTTTGGAGATCCGCGACAATATATCTCTGACTAGAATTGTCTTCTTCTCTGTTCCGATGGTCTGATTGTTTGGAAACGAAAGACCTCTCAATAGACAACTCATATAAACCATTAGTTTGTTTCCCAATTCAATGTCTTTATCACTCAATTGCTGTCCATTTCCTATAAAAACCTCTAATTTGCGGATCAACTCTTCAAAAGGAGTCATATAGTCATCAAAAGCCTGATTATAGATATAAATGATGGCATCGAATAAACAATGTTTGCGACAAACAGTCATCACATGATGAATATCCAGAGAAGTGATCTCAAGGTGTGTTACAATTGACTCGAATGTGTGGAACCACTTCTTCTGTTCGTAATGAAGAGTCAGTTCTTTGGCTATAATTGGACTCAAACTCCTCAGCTCTCCATTCAATACATAAGACTCTAATGCGTCTAAGAATATGGTTTTGGCGATTGAATCGTCAGAAAATTTATCAAACAATTGATTTAGCATTTGGTAGTTATTTTCAACGGCCAGACAGTAGTGGATGGAAGTGGGGATTAAGTGTCGGTAGTGTTCCACCAAAACCTCAATCCTTCCCTTTTCGGGACACAAAGCTGTGAGCGTTTGGTTCACATACTTGTCTAACACTTCAATCAGTTTTTGTGCTATCATTTCACGCTTTTCGGTCTTTTTTCCGCTCAAACCGATCACAGCTTTCGCTGTATTCTTGTAGAAAGAGAGACACAGAGCTAAAGCTTCGGTGTATTTGTTCTCATCGACCAATAGGTCTATCCTTTCGGCCCAACTCCTGATCGCAAACAAGTGGACAGAACTGACGCCAAGAATAAGTAGATTCGAAGAGTTATTGTTAGAAAGGGTTGCGTTTGAGACACACGTCGAGTGATAACAGGCCCTCTCGGCGGCCGCAGACATCGCGAGACTCACGTTCTGTCCGTTTTCCAGAGACTTGAAGTGAGCGCTTCCGTAAACCATTTCTATTGTGTCGATTTGGATCACTTCCAGCTCCTCCTCAGACTTCACGTCCAAGACATGCATTTTCTCCGTGTCGTCGATCGTCACAATTGTCCGCGAATTCAACCAAACAATCGATTGCATCACATATCCAACGCTTATCTGCATTAATGGTGTGAACGCCAGTCGGGTTGCGCTCTTATAGCTGGCCTTCAAATCAATGACAAAACTATTGAAATAATCAATGAATTAGTAGTTCCCTAAAGACCTGAAAGAAGTAAATAGTGTTTTGTCGCGCAAACGACAGCACCGGGTCTATGACTCTGGCATCGGCTGTCATCTGAACCATAACGAACTGCCAGCAAATTAGTGGAAGAGTAGTCCCTTTGGCCTTAAATATGGTTTTATATGTTTTACAACATTAGTTGACTTTAAAATCACAATATAATCAAAAACCTTAAGAAGTTGTGTGAAGTGGACATTGATTGCGGGCCTCAGTGTTAGCGCAATAACTTTGGTCACCGTTGCCATCGATAGTAAGCAAATGTGGCTAAAGTTCTGTATATCCCCTCCCTTTGAGTGCTCCGGTATTATCAACGGCTCAATCACTAGTACTTCTCCGCGACTAACAATGTATTGAAAAATGGCTTAATTTGTGACTCAAATGAGTGAATGAGACAAACCTTCCCGAGAATATGCACTGAGAGTCGATGTGATTGCCTCTGAAGTCCAGCATATAAACAGATCCACTGCTGTCACTCAGAGCACCGAAGTTATTGTCGGACATAAACTGTCAGTCATTTCCGGACAATCATTCAATCAATAAATCACTTCATTGTCTCAAATGGTGTCTAACCTTCAGATGAAGTACTGTAGTGTTGGGTGAATGCAATTCAGTGAATGTCTTAATGAGTTCACCCGACTGTAGGTTCCAAAGAGTGACACCTCCTCTGCTGTAACCGCAAAGCAGTCGCGAGTTATCCCTCTTGATGGTCAGCGCCGATACGGATCCCAAGTAGTCGTTAGTACGAAGACATGATTTCATCACTTGTCGCAAGTCTTCAGTCAAATGAATGGCATTCAAGATATGAATTGATTTCCGAAACGAGTGATAGATATCATACCGAAGACGAGAACAAATCCATGGGATGTGCCGACGGCTACATAAGCGGTCGAAACCTCCATAACTGTCGGCTTTCCTCCACCGATGCGTTCGGTGTCTGCGGACTTGATTTGAGCCGATATTGTCTTGAGAACTGAGTGTCG